ATCCCGAATTAATGGTGAGCCGGGTTAACTCCAAGAGGTAACTAAGGGATACATTAGAAATACATTAGACCAGAAGTTCTGGACTTGACTGTTCCCGGGAAACCCACTACACGGCAGGCCTGGGGAAGAGGGTGGGGGGGCCTGCCAGGCAATGTCTGGAAGCCATGTCTGGTCTTAACCAGAGAGGAGAGGTCTACGTGTGGCATGTGGTGTGACACTGCTTCACACCCACGACTCACGACGCAGGTACACAGCCACAGGGCCGCTCACAATCCCTGCTCTCTGGAAGCTTAAATGGATGCTGCTTGGGGCCAGGCTCCACCCAGCCCGATTCACGCCTCCTGAGCAGCCTCTGAGGGGTGGCTGCTTGCCCCCCGCAGGGCTGTCTGTCCAGCGTCTGTCTTTCACTCATCACCACACACCTGGCCAGGCCACCGGCTCACCTCAGAGCGCTGCCACCACCCAGCTGCCCCATTTCCCACTCCCCATCCCATGTGTAAACTCTGGTCACATCGCTGTGGAAACACCAAGCTTGTCTCGTTTTTATAGCCTTCTTTTCCGAGGCTGGCAGTAAACGTTTGTCTGAAAAGAGCAAAAGGCACAGGAAATTACTGCCGCCAATTAAAATAATGAAGCTTCAAATGACTAAATTATCCGGGGTATAAACAGACGCTAGACAAGATTCTCTCCACGGTGAACATTATCAGCTGCATCATAGACAAACATGCCTATTTTTGGTGCCGGTCCTGGGGCTGGAACTCAGGGCCTGAACTTTTCTACTCAAGGTCAGCACTTTACCTCTCGAGCCACAGCTCCACATCTGGTGCCTGGGTGGTTAAGAGGCTTGCAGATCTTCCTGGCTGGCTTTGAACCCTGATTCTCAGATCTCAAGCTCCTTGAGGATGGCAGGTGTGAGCCATGGGTAACTGGCTTTAGCTTTATTTTTTCCCTGTCTTTTAAAATTAAACTCCCCATGCAGCTGTCAGAAGAAGTTGTGCAGGGTAAATACCTAATTCTTTACATTTACCTTTCAGAAAATAAAAGGTGTGCTTCCCAACCTTTAATGGCGAACAGGAGGACCTCATTTATGAAGACAGTAGCGTTGACCACATCCCCAACACTACTAAAAGCAAAAAGAGCAACAGCCCTGCCGAGGAAGTACAGATGCAATCATGGAGCGATTTCAATCGGACACACAGGTAAACCGGGCTGTGGAGCTGGCACAGACGGCGATGGCAGGTAACTAGCGATGGGCAGGGTTGGGGTGGAAGGCCAGGGGCTGAGTCCAGGGGCCAGCTACAGTGGCTCCTGAGAATATTCACAACCAATAGCAACAATAACCCTGCCCAAAGATTCGTGCTAAAGTAGCAAAACTGAAGAGGAAAGTGCACCACAAAATGTCATTTGACAAAGAGGAAAATGAGAAGCGTGTGAAAGTACTTTACCTCGACTGTCCTATTTCAAATGGATGGCTCTTTCCATTCTTTTTGGGGGAAAGGGGTTTGCTCAAATCCTTACCATCCACATAAACCACAAGAGGGGGGTAGGAAAGGATCTTGGAAAACAGGAGCATAGAACGTAGAAAGTTCCCATGAAACCACTTGTAAGTCTTTCAATCTGGCAATTTTCTAGATAACCACCAAATATCAGCCATTATGATGTCACTCTTCAGAAAAGAATTCATGAACTAAGGAGGGTACAACTGGCCAGCAACTGCACAGGCTGCCAGCAAAAAGTGGATAAATACACAGATAAATAAATAAGCAAAATAATCACGTATTTGAAAATTAACCTAAGAAACTTCAAAACTGTGATCATCTCTACAGCGGTTTTCGAGATATCAGTAAGGCCCCTGGAGTACTTATTCATGCGCCTTACATATTATTAACAATACAGATGATCTACTGATATTGATGCAGTTTTAGTTAAATAGAAATTTAATTTGGAACATTATAAATTACAGGAAGATTCTAGAGTTCAACTCCTGGGCTCCAATCCTTGCAGGGATTCTGGTATTGCTTTTATTTTTGAGTTTCCTCTTCTTCAAAATCAGTGCACAAGTAAACCTTATCTGAAATGCTTGGGACCAGAGGACTTTCAGATATCTGAGTTTCTGAGATTTTTCATAGACCTTATTAGTTAAGCAGACTGCAATCAAATTGCTCCAAAACCATTCACTTTTCGAATGTCATATCAGCAATAAAAAGAGAAAAAAAAGTGGATTTTACAGCATCTGGACTTGGGGTTAGTGACGCTCAGCCTGTATGAACTCATCTCCACTCATGAGAGCAGAACTTGCCCTCAGCCCACACCAGAAGCCCAGCGGAAGGTCAATGTGGAGATCTTTGAAGCACAGAGAGCAGATGGCTCGACTTTCATGCCCCATGGGGCTCTCCCTCACCTGTGACCTTTGCCCTGTGTGCACATCCAATACTGGCCCGCTCCACTCCTGACCCCGACGTCAGCCGAGGGGCCCGGCTCAGGAGTCACGCCAGCCCTCCCTACATGCTATTTCTGCCTCCACTTCTCTTCCATCAGCCAGTCACAGAGACCAGGTCCCTCGAACCCAGAATGTCTTCTGACAACTATTTACTCAGATCTGACCCTCCGGCTGCACACCGCGCACACACAGCCCAGTGTCGGACATTACCACAAAAGTCCAAGAGTGCATGGAAGTGCTCTTTCTTCCCTTAATGTAATTATGATGACTAACTCGCAGGGCTGTTATCTCTGGCCTTGGATCTCCTCCAGAGTCTGCCTCTGTTTGTTTTAAACTATTGCCACCCCTCCTGCTTCTTTCTTCCATTCTCCACCTGCCCCCTCAGTCCCTTCATTGTTCCCCACTTTCTACTGGGTTTTCATGGTTCCTCTCTTCCTCTTCTCCCAGCTCAGAAGCAGCATTTTCCCCCAGGCTGCAAAGTCTCCCCTGTACCACTGGACCACGGCCTATGACCGCCCTACTGTATGCATCTATTAAAGTATAACCCATGCCAGTTGGTTTATTGCTCTCCTTAGATGTTTGTGCAGGGTCTGAATCAGAGCCTCGCCCTTCCAGAGCTGTACCTCCTCCCCCCACCCATCACCGCATCCACACTTCCCACCTTCATCTTCACACCTCCCAACTCCTCTCTCCACTTCTGTCACCTACCCCTCTGAGGCCATGAGCACATGCATTCACACATAGGACACACACATGCACGCACATACTACACACATGCACACACATGCAGATACAACACATGCAGATGCATGCACATGCAGCACAATGCAGATACATACATGCACACCCATGTGCACATAGACAATGCACACATGCTTGCACGTACACACATGCATACACAATATGCGTGACACATGCATTCATGTGTGTGCATGCAATACAATACACATGCATGTGCGTGTACACAATGCACACATGCATGCACACACAGGCACACACGTGCACATGCACACACATGCGTGAACATGCATGCATGCTTGCCCTCCCCAGGTCCCCCTGCAGAAGCTGGGTTTTCACTGTGTCATTCATACAGCTAAAGTGTGGATGAGGCACAAAGCTCTTGAAACAGCATCTCACCAGGCTTCAAGTCCCAAGTCAAAGTCATGCTCACAGCAAAGCTCTCTGACCACAGAGTAGCGCTCCTGGACGGCGTGTGTGCCCCAGCGTGAGGTGGCAGGGTGCTAGCTCTGATGGGAGACCCGTGAAGGGCTGTTGCTTCCCGAATGCCACGTCCTCCCTCGCTTCCCCCTCCCCCCATTGACCCCCCCCTGTTTCCCCTCCCGAATGCCACGTCCTCCCTCGCTTCTCCCTCCCCCCACAGACCCCCCCCTCTGCTGCTTCCCTAATGCCACGCCCTCCCTCCCTTCCCCCTCCCCCCACCCACCCCACCCCCTCTCCTTCCTCACCTCAAGCCTCCAGCAATTCTGCCTCACAGATGTGGCTGCTCTGCCCTCCTTCTACAAACCTCCTGGCGGCCATCCGAGGCCCTGCACTTGTTCCTGCCTGGGGGCCGTCCGCACTGGCGTGCCGGCCACACTGCCCACCGCGCCACCCTTCCGCAGCTCTGGTGACACCCGAGGGGCTCACCGTCACCGAGGCAGCTACTCCAACTGCATTCCCCCAGCCGCTGGGCAGAACGGCAGCAAAGCACGCCACTTCCTGTCCACGCGCGCCTTCTGTGTATGGCGCGTGTGATACACAACCCCAACTGGAGCCTGAAGCCAACAGCACCCAAAATGCCGCATCAACACAGCGGCGTCCTTACACATGAGCGTGGATTCCCACATGCCACATGCACGCCATGCGTGCTTTGCAACGTACATGCTTTGGGCTTTGCATTAATAAATGCTTTGCAACATAAATGCATTAGGGTTTGCATGACAGCTTTCCCCATATTACAGCTGAGAACAGTGGACCACAGACAGGGACTGTACAGAAAGAAATCTGAATACATTGAGTCCAATTTTTTTTAAACAGATAAATGTGTTTACCAAGAATTGTGCTCTCATGCAAGTTAACCTAGAAAGTTCTAGAAAGTTCTCTTCATTCTTCCCAGGAAGAAAGTTCTCCCAGCTCTCATGAGCCAACTCACGGCACTTTTCCATGAAACTCTTCTGCTAATAAGTACCAGAGTCAGTTCCTCCTACAAACTGCCTTTCATGCTTGAAATACACCAATATTTTTAATACTATAGCTGTTATAAGATAATCCAGGCATGCTGGCTCAGTTAGAAATGGTTTCTAATGGGCCATTTTCTTCAATAGTTTCAATTCCCAGAACAATTGAATGGCAAGAGGTTCTCTGTATCTGCTGAACAAATGAAGTTAAGTCATATAGTGTACCCTGTTAATAATATTTACAAATGAACAATTCCACAAGCATATGTAGCATTTAGTAAAGGTATCACATCATGAGGTCTTATCTTGCTATCTGACATCTTATCTTTCTTATAATATGCCCAAATGAAACAATATTATAACAAAATAAAGACCAAACTTACCAGTCTTCTCCTCTCTTCTTCTACAGCAATAAGTAGCCTTGCAAATTCTTTGAGTGACTGAGCTATGTAAAAACAAAAAAGAAAAAAGAGCATTGGTCTTCCTTCATTTCTAATTACACAAGAGCAAGCACGGAAGCGGAGCTTGCTAGGCCTCGTACACTTTAAATTCTGTGGTTTTGTCTGTGTAACCATTACATTATTGAAAATAAGATCCTAATGACTAACATCTACTACAACAGAGGCTGATAAACACGCTAAGAGATGAATGCTTCTGTGTGTTTGCAAATTAAAAGTTGAGCAGGTGTCTTCCTCGAAGACGCGAGGGGAAGTATCTGTATTTAATGTATACAACACACACACACTAGGATCTGCGTCACTTCTAAGCAGTGACCTATGAAGAAGAAGCAATTTCAATGCTATAGGAAGCGATGCATCCAGTACTACCTAGCCGCAGTTGCTATTGAGAGAGCGCATGCCCAGTGTGAGAGGCACAGGGTCAGAGCCCTGATCCCGGAGGTACCACTGACGCACGTGGCATCTGAGATCCTCCTTCCCATGTGGACGGGCGGTGAGAGGACCTGCCGTGGGTACACAGACTCACACAGCCCGTTCTGAACTAAGGTCCAAAGTATTTCTTTAGAAAACTGCCTGTACTGCCCCTAACTTTCTTCTGTAGAACTGGCATTAGAACTCAGGGCCGTGCGCTAGCTAGGCAGGTGCTTTCCCCCTCAGCCACAGCCCTTCCTGTGCTGGTTACTTCTAAGGCAAACAACAACACAATCATAATAAACTAAGTGCTGAGCTGTAACTATTTAATAGGCATAAAGTCACTATGGCCAAACATTGAAAGTTAACTTCATCAAAACTGTCTCTAGTGAGGGGTGTATCTGAAGGATGCGGAGGACAACAGAGTGAAATCAAGATCTAGAGACGGCATGGCACTGTCTCAGCAAAACAGAGGAAATGACGGCGTTCAAGTTCACAGTGGTCTGATGAAAAGGTAGTGGAACGGGCGGGCCGGGCAGAGGTTTGGCTGTCAGCTGTTTTCAATTTCACTTGAAATCTTTTCTCCTCCGTTTTTCATCTAGATACTATTTATGAGCTCAATAAGATAGTAGTTGTTTATAGTGGAAATGTCTGAAAAGAAAAACTCTAACATACAAAAGCAGTTCAATGTCCGCTTCTTCACCATTAAAACTGAGTTCAATTTCACAATCAAATTTTTCCCTCTTTTCTTTTCCAAGGGAAAGGATATCCTTTAAAAATAAAAAAAGAAGCCGGGCGCTGGTGGCTCACGCCTGTAATCCTAGCTACTCAAGAGGCTGAGATCTGAGGATCGCGGTTCAAAGACAACCCGGGCAGGAAAGTCCGTGAAACTCTCATCTCCAATAAACCACTAGAAAACTGGAAGTGGTGCTGTGGCTCAAGCGGTAGAGCGCTCTCGCCTTGAGCTGAAGAGTGCAGGGACAGCGCCCAAGCCCAGAATTCAAGCCCCATGACCGACAAAAAAAATAAAATAAAATAAAAAATAAAAAAGGAGCTAGGATAGTTCCTTTTAACCGTTACAGTTTCATTTCCACGAGAAGTTGGTCCAAATAGGGATATCTGATTTGTCCTATAAAAAATATAAAGAGCCAGGAACACTAAAAATTCATCTCATGACTTCACAGCCAACAAAGTTCTTAATTTCATATCCAAAGTTTCCCCCGCTTTTATATAAATGATCCAAAAGGAATTAATTAATAGTTACTAATTAACAATTAATACTAGGCACTGCACAACAGAAAGGAAGAAATAACACATGATTGAGCGAGCAGAGGACTCAGGGTATCACCATGTAAACGGGGCCTGGGCGTGTCCAGTCACTGCTGGGCCTGTGGCATTCTACAATTCTCATAAGACCTGCTCTCAGGCAGACCAATCTGTCCAGTGTGCCCAGCAGTGTACCTCAAGATAGGAGAGTCACCCCTCACCCCTGGCAGCAGGTGTGGTACACAGGGTCCACAAATGCTTGAGAAAACAGGAGGTCATCATGAACGGGGGAGAGGGAAACTCAAAGCATTCCTACAAAATAATAGTACTAGAAACGTGAGGCATATCCATTCATATATTGAGCCTGAGCAATCAGACAAGAAATAAAACAGATACAAACAGGACATGTGAAGCTGTTACCCTTTCTACATACTTAGAAAACCCTAAAGACTCTCCTGACTCTCAGAACAAACAAAGCCAACAAGTATCAGGGTGCAAAATCAACATGCAAGATGCATTTCCCAGTGGAGCTTAGTGGTGGGGCGCAGATCTAGCTTGTGCAAGGTCCCCCCCAAAAAAAACAAAAAAAATCAGCTTTCTTATAAAACACTGGGGAAATTGAAGAAGAACCCAGAAGATGGAAAGACACACTGTGTTCGTGGAGAGGAAGAACGCAAAAATGACCACACTACTTGAAGCAATTTAATCATTTCAATGTAACTCCCATTATACATTCTTCCCAGCAGGAGGAGAAAAAAAAACCCTGAAATTCCTATGAAAGAACGAAACACCCCAAATGACCAAATACTGCTGAGCAAAAAGCACCACGGAAGGTATCACAACATCTGATCTGAAATTATGCTACGGAGCCAGGGTAACACAAACAAGCATAAAGACCAACTGAATGGAACAGAGTTCTGAGAAAGAAACCCACCTAGCTACAGCCATCGAATTCTTGATGTGTGCCAAAAACAAAGGTTGGAGCAAAGGCAGCCTCTTCAACAAGGAAAGGTGCTGGGAAAAGTGGATCTTTATGAGATGGAAGCCAGACTCTTCCATGTCACCTGGTACACAAATCGGCTCCGAATGGATCAAACACCTGAACATGGGGCCTGGAGCTCTGGAACTGCTCGAAAGAGGTGGGAATGCCTTCAAGACACCGCCACAGGCAATGATTTCCAGAGTAGGAAATACAAGCAAAAAGTGACCTATAGGATTAAATCAAATCAAAAGTTTTCTGCACAGCAAAGGGCCGTCATCAGAGGGAAAGGACAATTGCACTTGGCTTTGGCAGGCAGCTGTTTGACAGAGGACTAAAACCCACCATTTATAAAGAACTCTAAACTGCAACAACAACAGAGCCACCGGGTTAGTAAATGGGAACATTCTCCAAACCAGCCCCGCCCACCAAGGACTGTGTGACAAGATGCTGGCGGCTGCGCTGTCCGAGAAACAGAAACCAGACTCTCACCCCAGCCAAGATGACCATGGCAAAAGAGGACAACAGAAACCAGTGAGGACCCTCACCCCTCCCCCATGCGGGGGCTGAAGTCAGCACAGCCACCGGAGACCAGGATCGAGGCTCCTCAAAGGGCTCAAAACACCAGTGCCAAGTGTGATCTTTCACTGCATGGAAACTAGAAGCACTTTTTAGTGCTTATCTCTGACTTACTTACATTTGCCTAACAATCACCTTACCACCGGTTTTTCTTTAAGAGTCCAGATTCACATCTCATATGGACCTCCATTACAGATTTGACCAACTGACATTTTGTGGTAGGAATTTGATTTAGTGAAGAGCTGTATTACAAAAACAACACTTGATACACACAAGGTTTCCAATAGATAAATGCTGAGTGAGATAATGAGCTAAACAATACTTTGCTCCTGCCACTGATGCACTCTACAAGGAGAAACAAACCAACTCTCACTCCAGGACGCATGAAACAGTAGGAAAACGATGGCCAGCTACCTTGGGAACTCCCCTTAGAGACGGGAATTCCCGCCACCTGAACGAACTTTCCTTGCTAACTAACTACCCCACCCTTCCTGTCCACCTGCAGCCTGTGATTACTGGAGAGCAATCAAAACAGCTTCACCTACAAATTCCAACTTTCCAACAAATTATCGAGGTCACAAACACTGCGATAGGTTTCCTTTTGTTCTCCACCACATAATATTGGGGGGAAAACACTTCTGGAACAAAAGAATTCTATTGTTCATGTGCATTTCTGGCAAGTCCTGGGAGGCTAAACTTCAGCACACAGGAACGAAGGTTGAATCACACCCTAGACAGTGATGAAAAATGATGACATTTTCTGCAGTTGCCAAGAACATAAATCCTCCAACATTCCTGAACCAGCTAGAGTATCTATTTCCTAACTTAATCTTCTGAGCAGGCTCGAATCCACCTTACTGCTTCTGACTGGAAAATCGGTTTAGTGTGTGAAGGTAAGAATGAGAAGCAGCAGCGTACCCTGTCCGTCCTGACTTAACTCCATGCTTTAACTCCAGAATATCTTATTCATTCAAATAAGCAAATCGCTCGTGACTTTCAGCTCTGCCACGGTGGAGACATGGGAATCTATCGAAGTTTATGAAAGCCAGGTTAAACCTTTGCAATCATGTTTCAGGAGCTCAGCTGGTGCCCGGGAGCAATCTCCCCTCTACCTGGAAGAGGACCGGAGGCTCCACCAGGCCCCTCCCCAGCTTCCTTCTGAGCTAGCTTTTCCCACACGATAGGACCAGAGTCCACGCCAGCCACACAAGCTGGTGAGGGGCCTGGGGAGGTGCGCGGGGCCTGCCCTCCACCCAGCGGCACTGGAGACGCGCAGACACAGCCAGCATGGTCAGGGCTTTGTGGGGGTCAGGTACAAGCAGCTCAGGTCTGGAACTTGCACGGGGAGCACTTCGATGCGAGCACCGAAGCACAGCGAGGTAGCATGGAGCACGCAGAAGAGGACAGAAAGCCTCCACTGCAGTGATTTGACCCCCCGCAGGCAAAGCACTATCCGCTCGGTGACACCTGCGCAGTAACGGCCACCAGATGGACAGGTGTGCCAGTGGCGGGCCCCCGATTCCCACCCAACACGGTGCTCGGGGCACGGCCGCCCAAACGTCTGGCTGCTCACCTCCCCAGTGCTCTGGTTGTGACTTTCTGAGAGCCGGAGCATGAGCTAGGACCTCACCCCTCCACGTACGGCTCCACTCCCCAAGCCAGAAAAGGGCTTCCTCAGCCAGCAATGGCCCAGGAGGAAGGAGGCAGCCACAGAGGAAGACAGACAGACAGCCAGGGGGAAAGGAGGGTAGA